CATAGCTCATAAACAAGTGGGGCAGGCATATTTATAAATAAATTAAATAAAGGCAATTATGTGTTATAGATGATATCATTTAGCATGCCTTAAGCGCAAATAACAGAAAAGTCAACTCAACCAAGTTTAAAAATAATTTTTTTCACCATTTCCATCTTTATTTTCCTTTCCAACTTCCCTTGCATTCCCATATTCCTTCACCTGACACGCTGGGACAAAGATGCTGGCATCTGAGGAAACATGAAGCATGGACGGGGCAGAAGGAAGTGATGGCTGGAGGGCTTGGAAATTGATGAATGAATGACAGAGCAAATAAGTAAATAGACTGTGGCTCCTAAGAGCAGTTTCTCACTATCTAAGAAGATATTCTATAGCATGAAAAAGAAGAGGCTAGAAAAAAAACTGCAATAATAGACTGGGATTTTTAGCTTCAGTATAAACTATAGGCCTCCTTATATACATATTCAGATAAATATGGAATTGATATAGGTAGGTGTGTGTGTGTTCATACATAGCTAATCTATCTATCTATCTATCTATCTATCTATCTATCTATCTATCTATCTATCTATCTATATACTTTTCCTAACTCTGTCTTCCGAGCAGGTCTAGAAGCAGGAATACCCTGGTAGAAGTGATCATATTGGTAGTTTCTAAATTCCATTCCCCTCTGAGTCTGACCATGAGAAAACATCAGGCAGACCCCAATTATGGTGATGGGAGATCTACAGGGACTACATGTGAAGGGAAAAATCAAATACTGTCCCAAAATTAACAACAAAGTCAAAAAGTAAATAAATCAATTTAATTTTAAAAGCCATACTATAAAATGAAAGATCTATATTCTTTAAGACTATCAAGGTTAGGAGACAGAAAAAGTCTGAGGAAGTATTCCAAGTTGAAGGAGACTGATAAGATGTGACAACTAAATGCAAACCTGTTCTTGGATAAGATCTTGGACCAGAAAAGAACAAGAAGCATTATTGGGGCAATTGATGTTTACTTAAGTTTGCTCTTACTAAGTGCCTCTGACTTATTATCTATAGAGTCAAAACCCTAAGACTATGAAAATTAACTATTTTTAAAAGATTTATTTATGCATACAAGAACTGGGGTATAGGCCAGAGGTGTGGGGGGTGAGAGGATTCACCAGAGACAGACTGGGGAACAGAACAGACAGATTAACTGAAATACACTGCTGCAGGGAGCAGTGGACTAGACAGGAGAGGTCTGCTGCGCCATGCAGGATGCTCCCTAGAGGGGGATCAAACTCATTCTAGTGGATGCAGATAGTTTCATAGGTTGTGTCTTAATTACTTGTGCCACCAGGGAGACCCAAAAATTAACTATTTTTTTTAAAGTTTTTTATTTATTTGTTTGTTTGTTTATACATGCACTGGGTACAGTCAGAAGCGCGGGAGGGTGAGAGAATTCACCAGAGCCAGAGCGGGGAGCAGAGCAGGCAGAAGGACCGAAGTACACTGCTGAGGGGAGCAGCGGGCGGCAGGAGAGGTCTGCGCGCCATGTGGGACCCTCCTCCGGTGGCCGGGAGCAGCCGGGGATCGAACCGGCGCTGCAGAGGCCGCGGGCAGCTTCGCAACCCAGCGCTCAACCGCTGCGCCACCGGGGAGGCCCAAAATTAACTATTTTTAATACTTCCAGAAGTCTAGTTATAAAACATTCATTTTCCCCCCAAATGCTTTGTTGCATTCCTATAGATAAATAACCAATAAAGGATTTTTAATTAGCATAACATCTGAATTCAAAAACCTATTTCTTTGAACATTTTACCATTTTAATTGAATAGACCACCATTTGGGCAGGCCCTAATCCAATGATTAGGTATCTTTGTAAGAGGAGGAAATTTGGATACAGATACAAACAGAGGGAAGAGGACATGAAGACATAGAGAGGAGACAACCATCTATAAGCCAAGGAGAGAGAGTGGAAGAAATTGTTCCCTCAAAATCTTCCAAAGGAACTAAGCTTACTAGCTTACTGATCTGGGACTTGGTACTTCTATAAATTGTGAGAAAATAAATTTATGTTGTTTAAGCCAACCAGTCTGTAACATTTTACTACAGCAGTCCTAACAACGTAATACAGATATTAGGTCTGACCATCATACACTGTAAATTGATATAACCACACTATGTAACAGTATGGAGCCTTCCCACGTAGTAGAATTACTACGTGATCAGCAAGAGCACTTTCGGGTAACTCTCTGAAGAATATGAAATCATTAACTCAAACGGTTATATGCACCAAAATGTTTACTGGAGCATATTTACAATAGCCAAGCTATGGAAGTGGCCTCAGTGACGATGTTGTATAAACACACAACGAAATACTATGCAACTATAAAAAAGATAAAATTTTGTCATTTGCAGCAAAATGAAAGGAACTTGCGAGGGATATGAAGCACAGTAAGTCAGAAGTAGAAAGATAAATATTGGATAATTTCACCTATGTGTGCAAAATAAGGGGAAAAGCAAATGACAGACAAAACAGAAATAAGCCAGTGCATTTTGACAATAGGATTAAGATTACCAAGGTAGAAAGGGAGTTGGGGACAGCACAGAGAGAATTTCAAAGAAAGTTTGAATCATGTCAAACTAAATTCAGTTTTCTTTGGTCTTTCTTCCATTGGCAAGTAAAAGATAAACCTTTGAGTCTCAGTGGATTCACATTTTTTGCCAGTTTCTTTTTTTGCCATTTTTGCCAATGAATACTGAGAGAAAAATGGAATTTTTCACAAAAATTTTGTATCTGGTTCACAGGCACAAAGGATTCTAAATCTAAAATTTATATAGAGAATATCATCTTTTTAACCACCCCACCTCTACCATGAAAACAAAAAGTCACAGTGTCCCAGACAGATTGTTGGCTCAACCCTAAGTAGCCGTCTGTATTTTCAAACAAAACACTAAGACTCTCAGTGAATAAAAACGGTCTACCTTATTATTTTCAACAAAAAGCTCTGCAAAAAAGTCAAACATAACAAAGGAATGATATACCCTCAAAAAGGGATTCAAATCTCCATCCCTGACAAAGAGAAAAACAAATTAAAACCTCAAATCAACAGCTACGCTCACGTAGCTGACCCATGAGAGAAGATCTGAGCTTTGTTCAGGGCACTCCTCTCACATTCCATGGCATGAATGAACCAAATTATTAATGAATGAAATAAATACCATGAAATGAAAAAGGAAGGGATTTCCTTCATACTCTGTTAAGAGAATGAAAATACTCATCATTGTCCAGTTTCCTGGGAACCAACTTATTTTTCTCCATCCAAGTCCATCCTTAATTTCCTCTTTTTCTCAGTTTGCATCACTTCTATTTACTCAATCACCCCATATTTCCCATTTTTTCTCTAGCAGGCATCATTCACTGTTATTTCCCTGTTGCTATAAGGATGACACACCCTGTTCTGATTTGAAATGCTCTGTTTTGTGAATTCAAAATGACAGAAAAACTACCCACACCTAAAGCAGCAGTGTTCACAGTGTGGTGGGTAGACCAGCGGAGGCATACAGTTCATTTTAGGGGGGTTACAAATTAATTTTTTAATTTTAATAGATCTTTATTTAAATGTACCTTAGAATAAAATAGAACTGGCACATCAAATCTTTAAGTTCTGACAAAATGAACATATGGAGAGAAAAATTAGAGGCTCAAGAGAGTCTTCCAGATAACCTTGAAATCAAACCACATTAGATTTTATAAACTTACGCGCTTTTTCTGACACACTCAGTCACTGAAATAGTTCAGGTCCCCTTGATATAAAGCCCCAAAGTAACTTGGACCTCTCCTTTACAGCACTTAGCCCAATTATAACTCATTCTTTGTATAACTGTTTGTCAAATAGTCATCCTTATTACCAGACTGTTAGCTCTGAAGATGGTCCCATGACTTCTTGTTTGCTACTATATCTTCAGCTCTTAGCACACTCTCTGGAACAGATTCGCTTTGTGTAAGTATTTGTGGGATCAATGCATGGAGAAATGAATGGGCACACAAAACTAGCCCTTCTTTTCTAATATTTCTGAACAAAAGATGAAAACCATAACCTGAGAATTAGGTTTTTACCCCCAGCAAAAAAAAAAAGACGAGAGTGAGTTCAGTGGGTTCAAGGTTGCAAGATAGCAGTCTGAGCCTTTACCCTGCCAAGAACTAACTAGTTGAGTGACTGGTTTTTAATCCCTCAAAACACTCCCTTTTTAATGGCCTTGCTTCCCAAATGCAGAACAAACAAATATTCTCTAAAATGTCCCTATTCTGGGTGCATTTTCATCAACATAGTTCAAGAAATTTTTTATTTGATTTATTGTTTTCTTTTTAGTCTATCTCTATTAGATAATGAATACTAACTATAAATTTATTGCAGTAAACATTTCACAATGTATGTAAGTCAAACCATTATGTGATAAAATGTAAACTTATACAGTGACATATGTCAATTATATCTCAATAAAATGGAGGAGTGGTAACTGAAGGTCTGGAAAACTCAAAAAAGTCCAAGAAAAGTTTCCTTAAGAGCATTTCTTTCTTTTCATACCCCTCTGTATGCATGTAATCAATAACTATCATTTGGGATTAAAGATTCACTCCAACATTGTCATGATCAGTGGTGAAGATGTCAAGCATCTGAAGAGGGGTGAACTTATACCTCTGAACTACATACAGTGTTGTGAACCAATGTTACCTCAATAAAATAAAATAAATATTATAATATAATACATATTAGTGTAACTATTTATTACATATATATGTATATATGAATATGCATGTTTATATGTTTATATATATAAACATGTTTATATATATATGAATATGTAAAGTCCTATGAAAATGCTGGTAAGAATATACATATGGAACAGTTGTGAAGGAAAGCAATATTATTGCATGAATAAAAGCTGAATTTATACTATGATGAGTTCATACATCTCGAATCTCCTTTTTAGTGTAGCGATCCTGCCCCTGCTAAGGGATTTTACCTGCTGTCACATGTGAAGCAAAGAGACTTCATCCTCTTCTGAGCAAGATGGAGTCACACAGACTGGATTTACCCTTCCATTAAAAAAAGAGAAGAAAATATGGTTTTCAGACATTGCACATCAGGCAGCATAGGACAGTGATCCTTGAGAAAGAGAAACAAATAAGGTGAGCCCTATCGGTACCTCACCTTATTGCCTTGAGAGTTTTCAGCCTGCTGTAAAGGAAGGAAAACTCAGAAAGTGCCAGTGTTCTTTTTGGGTTTGCTAGCTTTGCAATCTTGGGAGTTCCCAAGGTGAAATTTGAAACTGTCCTCTACACTGTGAACAAGGAGATATTGAAGAAAGAGACGAATCACTCCAAATTGGTAGATGGCAGTTTTAATAAGCAAGGGAACTTATACAGGAGGCTTGCCTTGGGTGACTGTAAGGTAAATAGATCTCTGCACCTCCCCTTCAGGGTCTTAGGGTTTAGATAGAATCTTCAGCAGGGTTCTATCACAGACAGTCCAGATGAATTCAACAATAGATTACTCTCTCAGTCTGTATGCCCTTGAAATAATACCTAGTGCAGGAATGGTGGTGGGGTATACATCCCAACGACAGGGGCAAGGGTGAGGAGCTGCTGATTGCCCAGGTACAGCTGACAGGTCAACGGGTGGTTACATCCCATCGGTGACCTCCTCAACAGAACTCAGGAGATGAAGCTTGTTGTCTGGGAAGGTCATGACAGCCAATGTTTTCTGGGCAGTGAACCAGAGAAGAGAAAACTACATAGAGAAAGAACTCTAGAGGTCTGCAAAACATCCCCCTCAAGTCTTCTTGTAAATGAAGAAACAACTTGAAGCCATGAAAAAAGTTATCTAAAGGTATCAGAGGAAGCAATCCAGGGCTTCTCACAGGACTAGAAATAATTCTTTTTCTCATGTGTCAAGTGTAAATTTTCATAATTTATGGGCATTTGGGTAACATAATCAGGTGAGTGGTGCCTCAGTAGAGCAGAAAACAACCCTACTCTTAATATTCTGGTCTCACCATATCCAAAAGGAGAAAACCACTTTCAAGTTACTGAACTGTGTACCATAGTAAATATTAATAATATTTATAGGAACACAAAAACATCCAGTACCCAATACGTACAATTCATCGTATGTGGCAGCCAATAAAAATAATTAAGCACATAAAGAAGCAGGAACATATGACTCATAGTAAGTAGAAAATAGCAATTGGAGACATAATCTGTGAGGGAAGAAATAAAGCAAGATCCTTGCAGAGCATCTAATATTACCATTAGAGAGAAAATATGGTATAAGTACTTGAGTAAATATCTAGATTCGCAAGCCATTTCCTCCATTTTTTCCATTTCCACCATTTTACCAGGTAAATCTGACTCAAAAGTTATTTTTCATAATCGCTGATTTCTCTCATTTACTTGTGCTCATAAGGCTTAGGATCTTCTAAGGATGGAAAGAATTGAGATGTGTTTATAGAGAGATCTGCATAAATAAAGGCAGGCTTATATTTTCTATTCTGGATGGCCACTCATCAACACCTCCATGACCCATTTTACAAATTCAAGAATACAAAATCTGACAACTTTGACCACTATAAGAGAAGAGACTGATATTTTTAAAGAACCGCTAGAGCCTAATTTGTATTTGCCTCCAAGCTTGACCCATCTTTCCTGTATTTTGGACTCTTTTTTTTCTTTGCTAGCAGTTTTCATAAAATGATTCAAAGAGGATGGATTTTTCATCAATTTAGTGACATATCACATTACCATAACATGTCATAAATTTTGTGCATTTCTCAATATCTTGTCATGATAAACCCAAATTTAGCAATATTTATCAGACTGTGACTATACATATCAAGATACTTAATGTTTGTGCCAATAACCGAAATTTATCATATCATGAATTTAATGGACCTACTGCCATTGCTACTTTCAGATTGTTTCAGCAGGGAATAAACTTTTTAAGTCAATAAATCACTTTTTTGTATTTAAAATAAACTCCAACTGTTCTCCCTTAGGTTGTTTTCATGGCCAAAAATATTATTTCTCACCTCTAGCACTTTGTTCTTTGGAAAAGGAATATTCTGTGGATTTTGCTCACTGATTCATAATTGAGTCTCTGAAATGGTCCTAAGTGTGATAACACAACTATTAATCTCATTAGTCCAAAAATAAAGACACAATGACAAAAATTATATGCTTTGGCTAAACGAAAAATGCCACATGAAGTGCCTACTATAGTGGCTACTCTTGGGCGGGGGTTTGAGGGGGTGCACAACAACCCAAGAATTTGGTCAAAGGAAATCTTGCTTTTGAAAGTTCAACTGTCAAAGTCGTTTCAGTCACAGGCAGGACCAACAGAATAGAAGGAGATGCAACCTTGTGGTGAATGAAAAAGATTAGTATTCAAAGAGCAGATCAGGGAAGGTATGAGTAAACCACAAGCAGGAGGAATTATGTGGAAGTTCCTACATGCACCCATAATTATAGCATCAGTGAGACAACACAAGGGAACAAATCCAAGTGCTAGACAAAGCTGTCTTTTGTGAACTGCCCATGACTTTGAAGATCCACACAGAAAACAGAGTCAAAAAAGAGGACAGCAATCATTTCTTCTGTATGATCTTGATAAGTACCATGAGCAAGAGTAGTCTTGGTCTAAAAACCTCTATGTTATATAACATCTAATTAGCAAATCCATAAAGTAGTTGAGGACAATAAAAAAGCAATTAAAAACAAATATAGATTTCAGCAGAGGCAGGGTGAAAACACAGACACACAAATACACACTCACATAAGCACACACACACCACCCTCACAAAACTGGAAAGACAGTCCTCAAGTTGAAGACCCATTAGCTACCAAAATTGTAATTTCACATAGCGTTTTCCAAATTTTAGTGTGGAGGTAGGGTAGCCAGAGTCAGAAGAGTTATTTTGAAAGATGTGCGTGTCGATATACTAATATCTCAGGAAATGGTAACTTGAAGGCTCTAATTGAAGACTAATTGAATCTAGTTAGGTAAGGAAAAAAGTAAAAATAGGAAACAAAAGTTTATTTCTCACATATTATTGCCTGTTTCTTTCACTAGACTATGAACTCTACAGAATAGACACTGTATTGCTAACCATTGAATATAGTGTCTAGTGGAATGCTGATGTGCAGTAATTTTCAGAGTATGTATTAATAAAATATGGTATAAGTACTTTGGTCTTTAACATAAAGAGTTAGGCTCAACATGCTTAAACACTGATACTGCACAGGCAGGAACCCATTAGAAATAGCATTACGTTGAGAACTAGCTCTCAGGGAGCTAGTGGCTCCTTGCTGGTTCATGCATTAACTTTGTGGTTTCTGAATTATGAAGAGGGTGGCAGGACAGGGATGAGACTCTGACCATCAGGTTATTTGTCAAGCGTTACTTTAGCAATGTGTATGACGGTACTGGCATAAAAGAACTGAATACCACTTAGTTCCCCTCTTCTAGGCATAAAAGAAGCCAGATCCAATACTATTCAGCAATCAAAAAAGATACACTCATGCAATTTGCAGCAACACGGATGGAGCTAGAAGGAATTATGCTCAGTGAAAAAAGTCAGAAGGAAAACAAAAAATATTGGAATATAGGGGAAGCAAATAAGACATCAGTGTGCAAAATAATAGCATTACAAAACACAATAAAACAAAACAAAAACAGACAATTATAAACCAGAAACATTCTGCAGAGGGAGGAGGAGGGAGAGGGATCAGAGGGAGGAGCACAAGGGACTGAGGTGATGGTGCACGGGTGCATTGGTCAAGGAAACTCTACGGGGACTACACCTGGGGAGGGGGAGGTGAAAGCAAACATTGTTTAAAAATGAACAAAGATGTAAAAAATATATAAATAAAAATATATATTAAAATAAAATAAAGAAGACAGATCTATGGCTATTGTGCTCCCAATCTTACTCTCCAATATCATACAATTTCAGAGAGTCACTAAATTCTTGCCACTTTGTGCAAATGACCACCCAGTCCTAGAGAGAGCATTCAGAGAAAAACAACCCTCTCTTTAGCCTACTAACCATAGTCACCCTGGAAACATCGGGTAGGGACAAGAGTTTCCATTTAACCTTTCCTGCTTCATTCATTTTGTACTAAACAGAAATACAACAAGATGATTGAAAGGAAACTCAGAAAATTGAAATGTTTACTCTTACTTTAATCCTTCCCTTCTATAATTATATCTAGACAGATAAATTAGATTGGAATATGTTCTATATCTTCAACCTGCACATTTAAACCAGTGTCACTTTAATTCTCACTTGTGAATCTGTATGAATAAGATTATGAAATTACGAATGAGGAAAAAACACTTAACATAAAGAAAAGGCTCATTGTTGACACCAATCACAATACCAGGATAGAGTGGCTTGTTTAATTGTTATCAGAAAAAGCAGATTATCTTTAATAGCTTTCTATATTTGATGCTTTATAATACACAATAAAACTCTTTTTTTTTTCCCTGTGCGTTTTAATTTTTTAATAAAAGTCCTCTGATATTAAGATTTTGGAAAGAACAATAGCTGAAAAATTTAGCTTTACTTGCTGTTCTATAATTAATTAGTCTATATGTCCCTAACTTGCTTTTTCATTCCTCATATAACCCATTATTCTTTGTTTTAAATGTCTCTTCCATCTGAATGTATTCCCTATTAATCATTTGTTTTTAATTATGGTAAAACTAACATAACATAAAACTCACCATTTTAACCATTTAAAAGTGTACAATTCAGTGACATTCAGTGCAATCACAATGCAGTGTAACCATCGCCATAATCTAATTTCAAAACATTTGTATCACCTCCCAAATAAATTTTATATTAATTAAGCAGTCAGCTCCCATTTCTGTCCCCCCTCTCCCAGACCCTGGCAATCTGCTCTCTGCCTCTATGTATTTGTCTATTATTAACATTTTATCTGAATCCCTTCCCTTATCATAATGTATAAAAATTACATCCATATTTCTCTGCCTTTTTGTGACTAGATAATATCCCATTGTATATAATATACCACTT